TACTACCACCTACTACCACCTACTACCACCTACTACCACCTACTACCACCTACTACCACCTACTACCACCTACTACCACCTACTACCACCTACTACCACCTACTACCTACTACCTACTACCTACTAACTACCTACTACCTACTACCTACTACCTACTACCTACTACTACTACTACTACTACTATTACTACTACTGCTACTACTACTAGTACTAGTACTAGTACTAGTACTACTACTACTACTACTACTACTAGTAGTAGTACTAGTACTAGTACTAGTACTAGTACTAGTGGTAGTATTATTATTATTAGTAGTAGTAGTAGCAGTAGTAGTAGTAGTAGGTAGTAGTAGTAGGTAGTACTAGGTAGTACTAGGTAGTACTAGGTAGTACTAGGTAGTACTAGGTAGTACTAGGTAGTACTAGGTAGTACTAGGTAGTACTAGGTAGTACTAGGTAGTACTAGGTAGTACTAGGTAGTACTAGGTAGTACTAGGTAGTACTAGGTAGTACTAGGTATTACTAGGTAGTACTAGGTAGTAGTAGTAGTAGTAGTAGTAGTAGTAGTAGCAGTAGTAGCAGTAGTAGCAGTAGTAGCAGTAGTAGTGGTAGTAGGTAGTAGTGGTAGTAGGTAGTAGTGGTAGTAGGTAGTAGTGGTAGTGGTAGTGGTAGTGGTAGTAGTAGTAGTAGTAGTCGCAGCAGTAGTAGGAGTAGTAGGAGGAGTAGTAGGAGTAGTTGTAGCAGTAGTAGTAGTAGTAGTAGTACCTGTACTAGGACTAGGGGGGGTGACCTTCATTCAGACGAAGCAAAAACGCACAGCAAGAGAACAAAGGAACAAGTACAAGCCAAGAACAGAAACAAGAACAACACCTTCCAATCAGACACGCCGGCAGGCCGGCGGATTAACCATGGGCAGCCAGTTGGAACTATGAATTGATTTCCCAATGCCATGAGAGTTTGATTGCTCACCATTTTGGTAGGGGCTTCCTGATGGGTTCTACCCACAATCACATTATTTAATATCCCGTTCTTATTGATTGAATGTCCCCAGTGTTCCCGTCCTCCACCTCAACAAATTCTTGGCTTAAAGCCCTATTCATTGGAAAATCAAACTCCCAATCTCCTCAGAGTTTCATTCCTTAAGCTGTTCATTCCTGCTGGCGAAATATCCAGTTTGTTTCAGCAGCCACATATTTTGATGTGGTTTTCAATTCCTCAATTGAAGCAGTTGACAACCATCCCAAACCACGAATAAACACAATAAAAACCATTCAAAATCACCATTTGAGGAAATACCAACAAATTCTTTGTCCTTTGCCCTTTAGCTAAGCAGGTACCCTTCTGTAGCGATCTAGCCCATTAAACGCCTTAAAAATCAGTTGAAAAGACATTGAACACCATAAAAATCAATTAAGAAACCATTAAAACACTATTAAAAAGCCATTGAAATCACATGAAACACCCCATCAAAACCCAGTAAAAACATGAAGCACCATTAACGTACCATAAAACCATCACTCACCAGGTCCTCCCCCCTAGGGCCCCTAAGGTACTACCTGGCGCTGAGCCAAGCCCGCCTCGCAGAGTTGCGACGTGCCGATGTGGTCTTCGCGACCTGCATCTCTGCGCGACGCGGAGGCCTCAGCGCGGCCTTGCAGGTGCGGAGGGCGATGGGTTTTCTTATGGGAGAAATGGGGATATAAATATGTGTGTATATATATATATATGTGTGAATATATATATATGAATATGCATATGTATATGTATATGTATATGTGTATATATTTACTTATTCATTTATTTATTTATTTGTTCGAATATGTTTAGGTAATAACAAACACAAGTGGATTCATACCTTAGGGTGCACTAAGGTGGATGCGGAAAACCCATGGTTACCCTAGGGGTGATGATACAGAGGGATCACCCCTGGTTTGAAATGTAGCATGACCATCTCATAAACCACACCAATTCATGCATAATTGCAATAATAGGTTCAAAACCTTGCAAAATCAGACCTTTCACAACTCCACCCCCCATGCATACCCACTCTCTTAACATAGTGGGATAAAATGTGTTATACAATGGAATAAATAGGGATGGAATAAATAGGGATACATATGTATACACATATACAGATTTATATATATATACAGTTAATGGTTGTTCTAATTACAAAACAAAAGATGATGATTGTAACAGAAGATTATGGTTCAACAGAAGATTATCTTATAATCATCTTCTGTTGATAATCTTCTGTGCAAAATGTTTGTTGGTTGATTATGAGCTTGAGGATTATAGCGGCCAAAAAAAAATTGCGGAATGTGAATGTCACAATCCATGAACAGGGAAACAATATCAACAACACAAAATGTGATATGATTTGTTGATACGATGCTGTTTTTGATCCAAAAAACTGCTAGAAAATACGATAGAAAGCACAGCAAAACCAACACAACACAACAATATTATAAAGCAATTCAGAATCAACAATACTATGGATAAACTTTGTTATTGTTATACCCTCCTGCAAATGGAAAATCAACCATTTGTAGACGATTTTCCTTGGTTTTCCCATGCGTTTTCCACATCTATGCAACCGTTTACCCTAGGATATATGATGGAATGAATAGGGATACATGCATATATATATATGTGTGTGTGCGTGTACATATGTATAAAAGCCAATGGGTGGTATAAATATATAAATATAGAACCACTTGTTTCCATCGAGTTGCATTTAAATACATACCAAAGCGGCGTGATAGGCCCCTGAGTTTGCTAAGTTGACTTGTAACTTGGGTACTGTAACTATGGTGTATGGGGATTTAACTATGAAATTATAGTTGATGGGGTTTATATATCAAATTCAAATGTATTTCAAAAGGAATGCCAAAGGATATTGAAGATTTCTTAAAGGTATGTTAAAGGTATATTAAACATATATATCATATATTCAAGGTAATGTTGTTAAATGGTATGCTAAAGGCATATCAAATGGTACATTGAAGGTATATATATTGAAGGTATCTTCAAGGCATACGAAAAGTATCTTCAATCAAGGTCAAGTAAAGGTATCCTAAAGGTGTATTAGATTCCAGAACATGGCCAATAGAAATGGATTTAAAGGTTTACTAAAGGTATATTACATTGCATACAAAGGGTATATTCAGGACGCATTACAGGACGTATTTAAACGACTTATTTTCAAGGTATATTCAAGGTTCAGTTGGAGCTGCTTTACAATCGCTGTGATGGGAAAAACGGGGATATCCACTACGACTGGGGAATCTGTAGGGAATAGTTGTTATAGCATATATGTTTCTTTGTTCCCGGTCAACAAACATAGGTATTGAAACCAATGTTATTTAGTTTGATGATTTAGCTATTAAGAGTGGTGATTTTCCACCTCACAAACTGTGAAATTGCCAGAGGGTAATTCTTATTTCACTGTTATATTGGGATACATGGGGAAAAAAAGTTGATATATACCAGGTACCGCGGTGCCACTTAGTTTGCTAAGTTGCTTTATGTCAGTTTCAATAAGGTTTTTCCACCCTTCCTGGGACAATAGTTGGAGGTTTCCTAAAATGGGAGGGTACCATGGGGTACCCCACATCATCCAAAATTAGACCAAACTATAGTATTGAAACCCATGGTGACTCTGGAATGCCCCACTTGAAGTAACTCCTAAGCCAGAGGGTATGAAGGCTTTTGACCCAAGGACCACATCAGTGCCGCTAGCCATTACGTCCCCTTATACATTATCGAAGGAAGTTTTGAAGTCAAACTTCCGACAATATGGACAGATGAAAAGCAGAGCAGGGAAGAGGCAGAGAGAAGAGAAAGATTAGAAGAAAGAAGAATAGAAGAGAAAGAGTAAGAAGAAAGAAGATGCAGATGTGCGAAAAGGTAGGAAAGTCGCGAAACACTGTGTTTTTCCAATGATTTGGGGCTCCGGAGGGTCGAAAAGTAGGCTCGCTAAAGCGGCGGGTGCGGAGCCAGCTGGCCAGATGAGAGATGAAAATTTGCACGCCGTTGTGGCGCGAAGCACATTTTGAAGTCAAAATGTACAAAACACACCATGGTCGGACCACTTTTGGAAGTTGCGATGTCGAAAAAGTGCACGCCGTTGTGGCGCGAAGCACATTTCCAAGTCAAAATGTACAAAACACACCAGCTCCGGGCCACTTGGAAGTTGAGATGTCGAAAAAGTGCACGCCGTTGTGGCGCGAAGCACATTTCCAAGTCAAAATTGTTAAAAACTGACGGTCTCGGACCACTTTTGGAGGTTCAGATGTCGAAAAAGTGTCAAAAAAGTGCACGCCGTTGTGGCGCGAAGCACATTTCGAAGTCAAAAGTGTAAAAAACTGAGGGTTTTGAGCCTTTTTTGACGTGAAGATGTCGAAAAAGTAGACACTGATTAACTTAACTAACTTAACTAACTTCACTAACTTAACTACCCTAACTTCGACGACAACAGCAACAACAACAACCACAACAACTACAACTACAATAGATCGATAGGTGGAGAGAGAGATAGATAGATAGATAGATAGATACATAGATACATAGATACATAGATACATAGATAGATAGATAGATAGATACATAGAAAATAGATGGGTAGGTAGGTAGATAGCCAGAGAAAGAGAGAGAAAGAGTGAGAGAGATCAAGCACCTTTCAGTCCATCAGTGGCTTCGCTCTGCCATCCCTGATTCACAACAACCAATTTCTCCTATAGGTTTCCTATTTTTGAAACTTCCGCCACCGCCTTGTGCGGTACTACTGGTATCCCATTAATGAATACCCATGAACACATGCCCATTGTATCAATGGCAATCAATGGTTTACATCCCAATTACTACTTCCCATCGTTAGTGTTTGAATTCCACTAAGTTGTTTCATAAACCACTGAAGTCTAGATATGGAGGTTTCCTAAAATGGTGGTACCCCTAAATCATCCATTTTAGTAGGATTTTCCACTACAAACCATCCATTTTGGGGTAACCCCATTTTAGGAAACCTCCATATACCTACCATAAAGCGCGTTATATCCAGTTGTTCCCGTTGTTGGGATAGGAAGTTTGCGGCACCGATAAACATCGGCGGCACCAGGGCCAAGGGGCGCCGGAACTTCTACAAGTGGTGTTGGATGAGGCGCGGATGCCAACGACCCTCTGGTAAACATACAAAAAACTACTTAATTACTGATGCTTAGTAGGGAATATGGGAATGGGATGATTATCACCAGTGATTATGGATCATTCCCTCATTCCCTGCTAAGCACCAGTAAGACTATTGAAAATGGTGATGTTTGATGGAATTTAATGGTGATTTTTCATGGGATTTAATGGGATTTTCAGTTAGTGAATCGCCAATGGCTAACAGTTTGCGAACTGGAAATTCATCATCTTTCATAGGTAAATCAACGAACTCCGCCATTTAAACAGTAGCAAACTGTACGCCATTACCGGAGGGTATGGGCTATTGCCATCCCTACAGGTGCTTCTAGCTGATATTTCATAGATATTTCCAGGTGTTCCATTTCTCTTCTTTTGGTTGGTGGTGTACCTACCCCTCTGAAAAATATGAGTTCGTCAGTTGGGATTATGAAATTCCCAATTTATGGAAATACCGACTGTTTAACAGTTGGGATATATATACCCTCTGGTTATTTGTTACATAGCTATGGAAGCCATGGCCCATAGAAACAGATGATTTTCCCAGCGACCTAAACCTCCATTTATAATGGATCTTCCAGTTCGCTATGTTAAATAACCAGATGGTAATGTGTAACGAGATCAGAAATTTCAATGGGATTGCAATCAGATTATCATGGAAACGTAGTGGGATTGTAATGGAAATATAATGGGATTATATCGAGCTGCTTGGATATGCAGTTCATATGCCATAGCCATTATGTAACTACAGTCACCCCAGAGAAGATAGAATATGATAGAATATGTGAATTTCAAAAAAACATATCTAAAAGGTGGATAATTACATTTAAAAAAGAACATATTCCACCTACTTTCAGATGATTATGTTTGCAACATGTTGCAATTGTGATATACCCCATTTATGCCGTGGTCAAAAGTTGGATGTCCATGAAAGGGATTGGTCACTAACCCATTGATAGGGTTTTTGTTGGAGGTTCCTCAAGCAAGTCCAAGACGAAAATGCGGAACTGTCCCAGGTTAAACATGTTAAACGGGGGTGTCCGAAAAAGGAGGGTGGGAAGTGGGAAATTCTACCAACACAAAAAAGGAGATTTTGAACCAACCATAATGGCAATGGGATCTCATGGTGTTCAACTAGGGGATGGAATGAGGCAGCCCATTTCAACACCCACCGCTCTAACCACAGGATCACCAGGTCGCATCTTCCTCGCGGACACCACAGGATCCCCAGCCGAGCTTCACCAAGCAAGAGAATTTGAAGACCCGAGAGACATTGCCTTCAGGACAACAAGTCCACTTGCGAGAGGGCTGGATGGTATATTGCGAACCAGTCTCTAGGGCGCATTCCAGTCCGTCGGTCATGATGAAGAAAATGTTCACCAAGTTAAGGCATATCTCAGTCAAGCATCGAGTATTCTTCTGGAATTGGATGCACATCCAGGTACCCTCTGTTTCGGGTTTTGGTATTCCCTGGTTTTCTTGGTGAACTGTATCACCATCCTTTGCTTCAGCATATGCAGCTCCATTACATAACTATAAACCAGAATTGGACATGGATTCATCCTCATTGTAACCCAATGATATCCTCAGAATAGCACTACGAACATGTTCCATCTTGATCCTACCTTAAAATTGGTTATATCCACTCGGATATGATACCAGGATTATCCCATTATACCCCGTTCTATCTTGTAAAATCTTGGAAATATGTTCTCCTACAATATTTCCAATAGCGCATTATAATTCATTATATCTCAGTACATCCTATGGTTGGGTTACATATCCCGTTCTGTCCCAAGAATTCAATAGTTGGTTGGTTAAATCCCCATTAACCCTCAATCCCATCAACATCAAACCTCAAATCCCCAGTCTATCCCAGTTACCATTTGGTAATTCATCATGGTGTGCTGGAAAATCTACCGTATATACCTGTTTTTGTCCATATCATTTATATTCGAAATATAGTAATCTTGAATATGGGAGTTTCAAAAATATTCCCATTCTACTTGTGTTTTCTGAATTTCCATATGCTATCTACTTCAGGTGGATTATATGTTGATGTATATCTAGTTCTCACCTTTCCCAGCAAGCCACGTTTGATGACACCAGACGATGTGGTTGGTTTTGATACCCCATTAATGTTGCTGAAGTCCAGTATCAACCACCACTAAACCACGACAACCTCCTCTGATCCCAGTAACATTGTATATATATATATACCCATGATCTTCCCTATGTGTGTTGCTTATAAACCGGTATACTCCTCACGAAGTCCCATGATATTATGATTTTCCCATGACAATTCCCATGGAATGTATATCACCATCTCATAGAATATGACTTCAAAAAGAAGAACAGCTGAACCCTCCAAATATTCTTTTAAAAAAGCAATCCACATAAATACCCAAATAGATATATGTATATTCTACCCTCCTGTAATCAAACATAGCTATGGAACATCACTTCCAAGATTTTCCCGGCAGCCCCTCCCAGGCGGGTCAAGCACCGGAGCCGGAGGCCTTGTGCCCTGCAACTTTGGCACCTTGGTAAGTCAGGAGATGGTTTGAGAGGGGGAAAATTGGGGGGTTTAACATGGGGAAATGGTGGATGGAACCATGGAAAATGGTGATTTTAAGCCATACACATGGTAATTTTACCGGTAGTTCGTACAATTTTGCTGTCGCATTTTTAGGCGGAGGGGCTATACCTTGTACGAGGTCTTCAAAATGTCTAGGGAGACAATTGGCGACCGATCGACGATGATGACTCTGAAGCAAACCATCAATTTCATAGCCTTACCCACCAGTTAATGTCAACCCTGGATTAATAAACCCCTAGGTTGTTTAATTGGGGGGATACTATTTAAGTATCAGATTATGACTATTGGGAAAATACCCCCTAATTGATAAACCATGGTTTAGCAAAATCCGGGGTTGACATTAAGCTGACATTCCACGTGCATCCAAATAGCCCTCCAAATCATAGCCCGTATACTTCGAAGGTACCAGTGGCTTGACTCACATGGTTATATGGAGGTGTCCATAAATGGGGATACCAAAAAATTGATGGTTTAAAATCCTATCTGGTTGGTGGTTTGGAACATTTTGTATTTTTCCATTCAGTTGGGAATAATGATCCCAACTGATTAGTATTTTGCAGAGGGGTAGGTATACCACCAACCAGCTATTACAATAGATGATTTGGGGGTACCCCTATTCTAGGAAACCTCCATATCTGAGAATGTGGTATACCTAGACGGAAACTGGAACGTTTGGGGGAATATGTCAAAATGAGTCATCTCCGGTTCATCACCGTTGGGGGAAAATGATACCCTCTGGTAAACATACAAAAAGCTATTGATAATGGCCCAGTCGAAATAGTGAGTTTTCCCATGAAAAATGGTGGATCTTTCCATAGTTATGTTAGTTTTTCCCATGAAAAATGGTGATTTTCATCGTTTTTTGGTATGATTACCAGAGGGTAAATTCATGATAAACCAGTGGATATATGGATCTGATGCTGTGAAAAAATGAGACATCCTCACATGAGAAATTTTTACACAGGCGTCCAAATAGATGGGATATCCGAGAAATCGCACGTGATTAGTGACCATGTGAAATAAGCCAGTCAGATTTGTGAGAAATACCCCAGTGATACATGGTCTGTTAGTCTGTTAAGCATTTGTTGATTTAGATGACTTACTTCTTGCATGGGGTTATTAAAGTTACTGAGCTACGATGCATCTATCTGGTTTTTGGGGAAGTACGTACTATAACACAAAAAATATCACCCATATTTGAAATCCTACTTGGAAGTGCAGTTTCAGTTATAAGCAATGGATACAGTCCCATAGTTACAGGGGCCCCATATCCCAACTCATAGGGGTGTTGTCGCCATAGCCCCGTTGTTCTAACATGTGTTAACCTTAACTGGTTCTTAAGCATTTGGAGGTTTCCTAAAATGGTGGTACCCCTAGTTGTCATCCATTTATAGATGGGATTTTCCATGAAATAAACCATCCTACCCTCGCTTGGGGTATCCCCCATATATGGAAACCCCCAGTTATAACCAGGTTGATTGATTCTTCACGTGGAACGATTCTCCAAGCAACCACCTGGGCTCCCGAGGCCAAAAACGCTAAGAAAATCGTCCTGGTGGGTGATCCAAAACAGTGCAGCACTCAGGTGGCGCGACCAGGGTCGGAATCGCTTATGTTGGTGAACAAAATTATCCAATAGCTAGGCTCTAGTAGATACCCTCTGGTTATTGAACATAGCCATTGAAAATCACCATTTTTAATAGGTAAACCATCTATACATGGGCCATTTTCCATGGCTATATTAAATAGCCAGAGGGTATATTCTATGGAAATATGATGGACATCCTGAAATATCATGGTTTGAACATATGGTACTTCAGGATCTGTTGGATGATAAAGGTTCGATCTATTACATGGCCATGTGTGGGGTATACCGAAATATAATGAATATACATATATGTATATGTATATATATATATAATCGAAATATACAAGAAATATAATAGGAATGTAATGGAAATTTAGTACAGTACAATGACTGGTTGGTGATTTCAATCATTTTTTATTTTCGATTTCATATATGGGATGTCATCCTTCCCATTGACTTTCACTCATATTGTTCAAGATGGTTATTGCACCACCAACCAGATATAGATTATCATCATTATTAATCATTATTCACCATTATTAGCACTGATTAACCACCATTAACAATGGTTTTTTAACCACCAACCAGAATGGGAATGTAGTACAGTCCAAAGAATATCATGGGAGCTAAGTGGAGGTTTCGTTCGCGAACATCATCGAACTAAATGGGGGATTGTCCAGCACGCCACGGTTGATGAGCGGATGGTAAATAAGGCATATATGATATAGTTAAATGATATATTCCCTATAGTCATATACTTTATGACATATACCAAGGCATGAAGTTTATAATGAGAGATCCTCACTTCCCAACATGCGCCAGTTATACTGCAAGTTTTGGTCAAATCTCTATGTGGTGCCATTGATCTCATGAAATCTCCATGAAATCCACCAGAAATCACCGTAAAATCCCATGAGTTTCCCGTGAAATCCCCATGAATTCCATAAGGTTGAGACCCATCATCGTGAGCCCTGCCGCCGAGCGCATGGGGCTCAACATCTCCCTGCTGGACCGGAAACGGAAGAAGTGCTGAAGTGGAAATTCCGGGAGCATCTCAAGATTGTTGTGTATTTATCTGGTTGGTGGTTTGGAACATTTGGATTATGTTCCATATATTGGAAATAATAATCCCAACGGACTTTCATATTTTTCAGAGGGGTAGGTCAACCACCAACCAGTTATGGTTTGTATAAACCATCCCTGTGGTAGGTTTAGTAATGGATTTACCACATGAATTGTAAACATTAATGTGATATTGTTGTGTAGTTCTGTAGAGGTGTCCTAAATCAAATGGAGCTACCCCAAAATCATCACGATTACTAGGTCAATCTTAGATGGGCAGTTTAGTCCTTTAGTCTTTTGGTGCCAATGGGATTATCTACGTTCACCAGCAAAGAATTTACCATTTTTTTGCAGGGTATCTAAGATTGGCCATGATTAGTCCAAACCATCCAAGTATGATGCAATATGATGTAATGCATGTCATGGACTACGATCAATGCTATGCAATGTTTGATCTTCAACATTTTTACAACATGTATATATATATACATGCATGATGAATTATACCCCCATTCTGCTTGCTTTAATTCTCTATATCGTCTCCAGTCTTTGTCTCTGCAACAGGAGCGTTTGAGCAACTGCCCCTGGAGCGAGCCGAAGCTTTTGTCCTTGCAGTATCGCATGCACGAGGAGCACGGGAGTGGTACCCAAAGAAAGGGCCGCTTTCCGTTGGGAAAATATGAGGATCTATGTCTAATAAACATACCCTCTAAATGATCTAAACCATGAAATTTGGAGATTTGGAGGTTTCTTCAGTGCTGATGGCATCAGCCTTTTTACTAAAAAGTTGGCATATATCTCATTCCAAAAAAATCGTCTGGCTAACCATTATTGTTGAACTAGAGAATATATCTACTACCCTCTGGTTATTTAACATAGCCATGGAAAATGGTCCATTTATAGATGGTTTACCTATTAAAAATGGTGATTTTCCATTGCTGTGTTAAATAACTAGATAGTATACATATATCAGCATTTCATCCTTTACCAGCTCCCGCTTCAGGATCTGAACGCTTTTCCTGCGGCCTACTTCTACGGTGGCCGCGTTCGAACTGCCACTCGACTGTTGGATCACCGCCATGTTCTGCTGAAAAATTCCTTAAGTTATGGCAGGTTATAAATGGGATCGTACATCTGGGTAAATTTCATCACGACCTCACTGGGAATGATGTTTTTTTTGTCGGGAAATCATCCCCAAATGGCCTTCTGGCTGGTGGTTATAAATGGGATCTGGTTATGACTAACATAGCTATGGTATAGATGGCCCGTAGAAATAGATCATGAAAATGATGATTTATCTATTATCATAGAATTGGATGATGGGAAAATTTACAGGAAAGCCCTATATTTGATCGTAAAAACCATGGTTTCCTGCAGATTTTCCCTTAAACCAATCCAGTGATATTAAACATGGTAATAACCACATATACATATATATATATGTAAATTTCATCACGACCTCACTGTTCTCCCGAACCCTGGAATCATGGTTTATTTTAGGGGAATCATCCCAAAATGGCCCCACATTTCAGGTTAGTGAATTATTAGAATTTGCCATGATACATTCCGCAAATGGTCTTATAAGTACTTATAATTGGTAGAGGGCCACCATTCCTTTTCCCCATAGTTTTGCAGAAGAATCCTTTGGTCTTGTAGTTTTTTCACAAAATCACCCAACAGCATGTTTACCTTCAATTCCATGCAAGATCTGTACTGGTTGGTGGTTTCAAACATTTTTTATTTTCCATAATATATGGGATAATCCTTCCCATTGACGAATAGTTTTCAGAGGGGTTCAAACCACCAACCAGTGTATTTTTGCAAATGTTCTCTTATGTCTTGCCCCCACCTGCCAGAATCTGGGTCCCTATTTTTTTATGTCATCTTGTCCTTCCTTTTCCTCCTACTTCCTCTCCTCCTGGCCAAGTCTTTGTGTAGCTTGTTTCTTACAATTTATTTTTTTGATAGAGTATTTACCTACCAGCGAAACAAGAATACAGAGTATCTAAGATTATCAATTAGTATCCGATCCCTATGCTTTTTGGGCCCGCCCGCCATTATATGAATTAAACTGCCAAGTTAGGGTTTGCCACCAAATCCAGGTTTGCTTTTTAAAATCCAATCATATATTTCCCAGTTACGTTTATTAGTTATATCTCCAATATTTCCCCATTATATTCCCATGATATTCCCACTATAGTCACTATATACCATTAAAATGCTGTAAAAATAGCAGAAATGCTATGTTATTCCTACTATTTCCATAAAATGTCATCTGGTATGTCATAAAACGACATTTATTAAAACAACATTTATACAATTAAGTATACTATTCCTATTTAATATCCCATTTATTGCTGGTTAAATCCCATGGGTTCATATAGCATAGAATATAGATATCCCACTCAAATGCCATAGAAATCCAAAAAATCACCATATATTTCACCTTATTCCCATAAAAATGTTATAACATCTCCAAGCACGTCAGTTGACCCCGCTCGAATGTGCATTCCATGAATCGATTGAATCGTATATTCATAAGCAATCATAAGCAAAATTCCATTCCTACTGTAGTAGGGACATACCATTCATCTAACAGGTGGTTTTTGACCCAACAAAAACGATTCCTGCCCGCAGCGATGCGGGCGAGGATCCTGGCATCTTGTCGCGGTCCCCGGGACGCCTGGCGCACCCCACGACCAAACAACGCGCGGCGTTGCTGTTCTGGGCCGCCAGTTCCGCGCCGGAACAGAGCCTTGGTTTTTCGGGTTGAGGATCATCCCATGAATTTGATTATGAAGATATCTTCATTAATCATCAT